TTAGTAATATGGAAAACGTGAAGCTTAACAACAGGTACCTGTACCTATTTGTTCACAGGCTGTATCTGCTATACGCACAAGTTCGAGCCTACTATAGGAGAACTGTTTTGTTGGCCTAGCCTGATTAAGTAAGACGCGGGCTCATAGCACTGCGGCACCTTGGCACTTGCTGGGCTAGTATTCCAGCCTCTTCTGTCACAGTACTTCTCTTCCTTAATCAATCAGTCAGCTTAAGGGCCCCAGGACGGTTCACCAAATTCATGCTTCATTGCTAGCCGCTACTCTTCCATCAATCACAGTCCCTCAGATGCGGCGAGATGAATACCTCGGCAGCATGTGCCTCTTCGAGCCCTGATTATGATTGTGCCATACTTCCCCACGAGCACGCCATTCTCACTCGAAGAAACGGTTCTTTGGCCGTGGAAGACCAAGATGCTCCCGAAGCGTTGTCCCCTCATAATCTTTCCGAAAGATCCCACGCCGCTGCAATTCTGGCACCAGCCGTTGAGTCACATCGTCCAGACCTTGCGGTAAGAATGGCAGTGCAATGGTAAAGCCATCACAAGCCTCTTCATCCAACCACTGCTGCATGCCATCGGCAATGCTCTCAGTTGTCCCCACAAATGCAAGTCCAGAATACCCTCCTTGCCGCTGTGCAAGCTGTCGGACCGTCAAGCCTTCCTCCGCAGCCACTTTCAAAACCCCTGCACGACTGGTCTTGCTCGCGTTGGTCTCAGGAATGTCGGCAGGGAGTGGCCCGTCTGGATCGAACTTGGACGCATCTGTGCCGAGTGCGATTGACAATGAAGCTATACCACTGTCGTAGTGAACTAAGCTGTCGAGCTCGAGTCGCTTCTCTTGTGCATCTTGGATACTATCGCCTACAACAATGAAGGCAGCAGGCAAGATCTTGATATGATTGCGATTGCGGCCAGCAGCAACAGCACGTCCTTTAATGTCGGCGTATAATACTTTCGCGGATTCGATGTCTTTCGGTGAACAGAACACGGCCTCGGCTGTTTCTCCAGCAAGCTGCTTTCCCGGCTCGGACTGACCAGCTTGCACAATGACCGGCCAACCTTGAACAGGTCGTGCGATGTTGAGTGGTCCTCTGACTTTCAGCTCGTCTCCTACGTGGTTCAAGACGTGGATCTTATTTGGATCGACATATGTGCCGGACTCAACGTCGCGAACGAATGCATCATCTGCAAAGCTGTCCCACAAACCTGTAACAACATCGTAGAATTCTCGTGCACGCTTGTAACGATCCGAGTGATCCATGTGCTCGTCACGACCGAAATTCTTTGCTGATTCTGGGTTACCGGTTGTGACAATATTCCACGCTGCACGGCCGTTGCTAATGTGGTCGAGAGAGGCGAAGCGGCGCGCAATGTGGTACGGTTCGTCGTAGGTTGTTGAAGCCGTCGCCGCCAGACCGATCTTTTCTGTGACCTGTGAGAGAGCGGAGAGAAGAGTGAACGGCTCGAACGAAGTGACCGTATGGCTTCGCTTCAGTGCTTCAATTGGCATATTCAGAACGGCAAGATGATCGGCCATGAAGAACGCGTCGAATTTGGCATCTTCCAGTTTCTTGATGAAAGATTTAAGGTGCGAGAGGTGGAAGTTAGCATCCGGGTACGCGCCAGGGTATCGCCATGCACCAGTGTGTAAGGAGACGGGGCGCATGAATGCTGTAAGATGGAGTTGGCGAGGTGCATCGTCCTTGCTGCGGACGGCGAGGTTTTCGTGGTCGCCCATATTCTGGAAGACTTCAATGTCAGTGTATGTATAATGCTAAAAAAAAGATTCTGTACGTAAGTCTTTTGTTGATACGAACATGGCTTGGATATCAGTAGTGTATGAACATTCAAATCATCGAAATGCTGACAAATGCGGACATAGTCGCAATCACGACATTGCAACCTACTAGTCTATAAGTAGAACGTTTACACTCCGAGCTTAGTTAGACAACCAATTTAAGGTGTAATCACTGCGCATGGTAATTAGTGCTCAATATCCGTTTGCGCTGTCTAGGTATCACGACTGGCAGCTCCAATCGTCGACACAGTACTATTAAAGGAGGATGCGAGACCCCAGTTGGAACCGAGTAGTGGTGTAGATACGATATAGAATCCTTATGGATGGGGTGGTGTAGTGATTGTATAAGTAGTGGCATTCTTCTTTTTCTCTGAGTCATTTTCAAACCGCGGCCGATACGCGATCGATCGTCTATCGATCGCGCATTGGAGCCTTAATAGATTAAAGCCCGGTTAGATCCTGCGACTAATTCTATCATCGAACGCAAATTGGTCGCTTAGCATATGGCACCTACAAATTCTCCGAACTACTATATACTGCCCGTCCGCCGAGTGTTAAACCGGTTCCAGGTCATTTCCAGCCCAGTTCTGACCTGGGCCGGACTCGATTTTAGGGGTTTATAGGCGGGCTAGACCGATTCAACCCGATTCGAGATCGGTTCGAACTAAGTCGAATCGACTTAAGAGTAATTTAAGTCGGCTTGTACGAGAATAAATCGATTTCTGTATTTTATATTTAAGAATTGTCATATAAATTATCAATATACTATTTTCAGTTAGTAAAAAATATCAAAAAAATTAAAGATTTTTACTATAGAAATATCATTCTAATATTTAGAAGACTAAAATTAAAGAGATAAAAACTAAAATTTCGAGAAAAAGTGCTGCCGACTAGAATTAAAAAAATTTTGTTTTTTTTTAAATTATTTCATTAGTAAACTAAGTCGAATTAGATCGAATCGATCTCGAATCGGTCTTAAACTGGGGTATAACCGAGTCTGGTGCTTAAATCGCAGATTACGCAGATTCGATTCGAACCGGTTCCAACCGATCTAACACCTATAGGGAAGGCGACATAGCATTTCAGTGGCTTGCTTTGGTAACCCCCTAGCTCCCTAGAGAGTCTTTGAACCAGTTAAAATCTATAGAAAGAATGTCTCTGAGATGTCTCAATTCTCTATATTCTATATCGAGACTGTCTAGAGATAGAATGGAGCAGGGCTCTAACGAGGCTAGGTAGTAAATATCCTAAGTAGCTATATATTAGGTAGATCAGAAGTGAATTATTCGAGAGTAAGGAAAGCTTTTATCTTAGGACACATTGAAAGAAGGCGCACCCTAAAAGACTAGTTATAACGTCTCACGAAATTGGACGAAAGCAGCCTAGCCGCATCTTCCTAGCGCAGTACGTATTACTTTCCTAAAATGGCTCTAGCATTAACTGAAAGCGAGGTGCAAGGGGCTAGCTCGAGTCATACCGTGTGCAATAATAAAATAAATTAATTCTATCCGACAGTCAGCAATGACTGGTTCTCCATCATGCCGCGAATAAAGCTAAGTCTGTTGCTTTCCTAGTACATAGTACTACCTCGGCCAATAGTAGTCGATTCAGATTGCTTGCACCACATAATCTCCAAGCAACTCGAATGGAAGCAAAGCCAAACTGAGTCAGCCCAGGCATTATTTGATCGCAGCTTGGGAGCAATCAGAGAACCCTGGGAGACAATGCCAGTGACAACATAACTGTCCAAAGGAAGCACCAAGCACCGGGTGGACGCAAAGAGCACGCTGCACTCTCGCCAGCCGCCGTTTCAATAGGCCCACTGCTGCTTGAACTGCGACCTGTATTTGTGGCGCTCGGTGTGGTCGGGACGGTTTGGCCCGGTGTGGCGAAACTTGAACTGTCCACCGTCGGGGTAGCTCTAACATCGCCGACCCTCGCGCAAGGTGTGTTCAGATTCTTCCCTGATGTCGAAAGTGTTTCGTAGTAATATGCCGATGAAGCAGTCTTATAGTACTCCAGACAGCCGTCCCAGTAGCCGTCAAAGACCGAAGGTGCAAAGGCCGAACTTGTATAGCACAAGCAACTTGCTTGGACCGAGAACGGGGGAGGCGAGGAGTTTATATTGTTGCCAGAGCAAGAGGCTTCCATGCTATACCAAGACGAGCAAGAGATGAGATTGTAGTCAATCACTGTGTTTGTTCGAACATCCCCGACCGATGCGCAGGGACTCCCTGTCTGTCCACTCCCTGCAAGCGAGGTATAGAGTGGTGGTGAGGCTGTCGAAAGGTACGCGAGGCATGTTTCGATTGCTCCATCGTAGATTGAGGGCTGATATACGGACCCCGAATAGCAAAGGCAGGAGGCAGCAACACTGAACCCTTGGTCGAAAAGGCCACTCGTGCTAGCAGAGCATGCTGCTGCAATGCTGTTGACCAGCTCGCAAGATGCCAGATCCCCAGCTTGACGATTGAGGAGGGAAGGAAGCTTGGCAGCCTGGGTAATCGCGACTGTTGAACTGAGGAACCCAAATAGTATCAGCAGCAGTCCAAAGGTTTTGCACATATCTATAGAGACAGGCTGAAAAGAAGCAATCCCGTGTATCTAAGGTGCGAGATCGTGGTAAGTAGTACTAGCAACAACCGTGCAGAGGCTGTTGAGGCGCAGAGGACGAAGAAAGTGTTGCTTCACCATCGCCCTTCCTTCACGAAGGCTGAGCGAGCTATTAGTAGGCAGCCACCGTTCAAGGGGGAAGTGCAGTTCGGCCTCGTATAACAATCAGCAAATAGACAAGAGATGCGACTTGGAACTTTTGATTAACTTTCAAATGTTTTGTGCGACCATCTAAGGGGTGGCTGGGCCATTTCCTGTCGAGAACGGTCGAGAGCAGCCCTATCGCCAAGCATTCATCCTCAAGGGGCACACATTTGACACGTCTTTAGCGAACACGAGCAAACAAGGTTTCACCATCAATCAATAAGGTCTGATGGCAATTCCAAAACTCGTGTTTCTGCACCCAGTCATCTCCTTCGGTTTGAGTTGGGCTCTTGATTCTGGAACATATGTACGAGTTCAGCCTGACAACTGCCCCCATATGACCATGATGTCTTGTGCCAATTTCTCACCGTGGATTCCCAATGTCTATGACTGTGCTCTCTACAGCACTGCAGCATTAGAGAGATATGGCAGCATCTGAGCGCCCCAGATCGCCATCCTCAGGTCGAGATCTTTCTTTCCAGAACGAGCCCCATGCCCAACTTGTGCCTGGGCCCCTGCCGGCAGGTCAGGCACAATCCAACAAAGTTGGAGATCCGGACATCGACAGAATCATCAGTCTCGCCATCTCAGAATGCTCCTTGAAGGAGGGCCATGGACACATAGTGACTGAGCGTGCGTCAAGTTCAGGAAGTCGCAATACGGGAACTGCACCCTTGTCTAATGGCGCAACAAATGCGAGGAAGAAGAAGAAGACGCCAATTCTTGTTGCATGGGTTCCGGCGTGTCTCACTGCCATCCTACTTGCGCTAACAGCACTGTACGCCATTAGACCAGATCTGTGGAAGAGCCACTTTATCAACTCATCCCCGGGCAATGCGATCTTTGTTCTCCGGGCCTTGTCTGAAGCAACGGGGTTCCTGCTCGCGATTACAGTTGCGTCTGCATTCGAGCTAGTGCAGTGGCTCCTGACTGTCCGCACAGGCGGAATACCATTCACCGAGTTCTTGTGCCTTCAGGAGGGAACTGGTATTCTGGGATTGATGCAGCTTACGGCTGGAGCAAAGTCCAGGGCTAGGACAAGGTTCTGGGGCGGCCTCAGACTTCTCGCTCTGGTTTTATTGCCGGTGTTGGGAGTCGTGATTATGAGTGAGTGTCCCCACACCACTACTAGGGTGACTACCGAATATGTCAATCTAACCTCTGTCCGGATTGGCGATTGGGTGTTGAATATTGCTGATTCTCTGCAGGTGAGGTGGGAACAGTGCTCAGATTCGACAAGGTGGGCCAGACAGTCGCACCGCTTGGATTCGGTTTGGGATCTCTGAACACCAGCGTCGCAGTTACATTGTCCCCGTTCACGGACATACTGTTAGGAGCCACTTTCAGCCAGTTTCTGAATGATCCGAGTCGTGCCGTTGACATCACGCCAGATGCCAGTCGCAGAAGATCATGCGCTCTCGGGGTTGACGTGCGCGGTGGACAGACGTGCGAGAGAGCTGTTTACCTGGCTGCAGGCCAGGAGGAAATAGCTGCGCAGGTCACGACAGATGCACATCCCCAAGCCGACTCCTGGCTCGTTGAAGATCATCAAGGCTATGTTCTCCGCTTCACCGAGGGAGATCATGGCTGGGCGTTTGACAATGGCACCGAGTGCCGAACATATTACACTGAGGCTCTGACGTCCACCCTTGGCGCCTTCAGACTGTGTGCAAAGAACGTTGCCCCAAATCAAATACATGCCAGTAAGTGACGCTACAATTCTCAAGGACTCGCCAGCGCCATTGTCGTTGCGAGGCGATGTGTGCCCTAGCTGATCTCTACAGGAATCTCAAGCTGCAGCTATTCCGACATCACCTCGGCAAACTGTGGGAAGGAGTCTGCATGGAATTCAACACCAACTTGGTCCACGAGCTTATCCTCTACTTTCCGCCATGCTATGATCGCATATTCGAGACTTAATGGCACAATTATCTCCCACAAGTTCACCAAAATGTCAGAAACAGTCGCGCCACTGGAGTCAGCAGATCTGTTACAAGCGTGGGACAATTTCCTGGGCCTCGGAAACACCACAGACCTCACCACATCCAACATTCTGGAAATCCTAGGGTTGGGGGCTGGCAAGTTCATGTTTCCAGCAATGATCGGATCGATGCTAAATTCCATCACCGAGCTCTCTCAGGACAACCCGGCCCTGCAAACAAGAGGAGTGAATGCCCTTCAGGCATTGCTGGCAATCCCCATCTCCTATTGTCAAACAGGCTACATTGAACGGCAAGCTGCCCCTGAGCTACCCAGTAACGTTCTGTTCACTAACTACGACAACATCATTCTTCCGGAGGGTCTCGAACGCAACAGCCCGGTATTCTTCGCAGTGACCAGAAACCAGATCGACGTGGGAATCGTGTCTGTCATAGCTTATGTGGTGTTGAGCGGACTCGTTTTGATATTGTGCTTTACGGCGCTAGGTGGCGGGGCCTTCAGCGAGAGATCTAGGCATGTTCCTGACACCACTGCCTTCCCTGTGCTTGATTTCTGCCGTCATTGTGTTGTGACGACCAAGTATGGAGTGTCCACAGCGAAATACCCTCTCCAAGGCGTTGAAAACTACGCTGGGTTCGCGATAAGGGAGATGGACGTGAAGCTGGCTAGAGAAGCTGCAAATCCTTCCACCTACGAGTGTCGAAAAGAATAACACACACTGTTTGAGGCTAACAGATTGATGTCAGGACGAGAGATCACACAGAGTTGTAACGCTGTGACCGTTGGTATCCATTTTGCCTAGCCTTAACGTCAAGCTATGCTCAAGCTGTTAGCGCAGTGATTGCCACCAACCTGTCTGCTGGAAATCTGCTTCTTGTACTTGTAGAATCCCACCCCTCTTTCCACACCTCGATATTGAAATAAGTGAGGGACCGGACTCTTTCTCAAAGACACCCAGCACCACAATTATTTCTCCGCATGGGCATATTCCTTCCGATGACCGGTTGCTGCGACCCCATGCCTCGGATCCGGGGCAGTGGGCCTTTCGATTCCAGTCTGGGGGGGCGACTAAGTGCCAGGGGGCGTATCGTGACAGGCGAAGTGGAGTGTGCCTTTCGCACAAGGGCTGCTGGTGGCTCGGGCAAGCGGGAGGCGCTGGCTTGGCCCTTGACCCTTGGTGTCTCTCTACCACATTCGTCGGTCATTTCCCTCTGTGCTTGCTTCAAGAGACCTCAACCCTACAAGTCTACCGTGTACGCCTTTTCAGACCCGCAATAATAGTACATTCAAGCGGGGGCTCGCCTACCCAGGGGACTACAAGTAGTGGTCCCGGGTTCAATGAGGGCTGCATCTGGTCAAGTTCCAGCACGACGCTCCAATCCTTGGACGATAGCTTCCATCATTGGCCAATCACCACTTTGGAATTTGATGGACGGACGGCCCTCACACATGGAGTCCTCGGTCCTGTTGGGTGTCGACAGCCGTGCATTATCCGGGTGCGTCTCGAGAGTAGGAAAGCGAGTCTAACATACAAAAGGTTGGAGCCTTATGAGCCAAAATTGGGACCAGCGTCTTCATTTCTGTCCCTCTTTGCCTAGGAGCGAACACTCCGCCTGCGCAACATGGCTACTGTTACTCCCGCAGATCTCATTTCTTCCACCAAGCATGCCGTTGCTGCCTACCCGCTCATCTGTATCCTGGGTCTGTTGGTGATCTGGCTGGTCTACAACAGGCTCAGACCTGGGCTCAGAAACATTCCCGGACCCCCACTCGCCGCCTACACCAAATTCTGGAGGTTGTACGATGTCTACAAAGGGCACGCTCACACCACCGCCATCAATCTACACAAGAAGTACGGCCCCGTGGTCCGCATTGGACCTAACCATGTCTCCATCTCCGACCCTTCGTTGATACCAGTCATCTATGGAATCAAGGAGAACTTCACAAAAACCGCCTTTTATCCGATACAATGTATTTCATGGAAGAAAAGGCCTGAGATGAATCTCTTCTCGACCCGTGACCCAGAGTACCATCGTATTGAGAAGCGCAAAATCGGAGCCGCCTACAGCATGCCGAACCTGCTACAGTCAGAGGCAGCGATTGATTCCTGTGTTACTCTGTTCATGGATCGCCTCAATGAATTTGCGTCCAAGAGAGAACCCGTGGACCTCGGTGCCTGGCTACAATACTTTGCCTTTGATGTCGTTGGTGAGGTCACTTTCGCAAGCAAACTTGGGTTTCTCGACCAGGGAAAAGATGTCGACGTAAGTGTCGCCAAAGTGATCTTGGAGCTCTGCTGACTGTCGATCCAGGGAATGATGAAAGCAATCGAAGGGATGCTCGCGTATGCAGCACTCTGTGGTCAAGTTCCCGAACTGCACCATGCTCTCCTGGGAAATCCACTGTTTACCCGACTCATGCCCGCCATGGAGACCTGGAACCAGGTGCTCGTCTTCACCCTCAAGGCGATCAATGGGCGGGCAAGCATCAAACGAGACGGCGAACTGATCAACGCCGACGTCGAAGGCCGTGACATGCTCAGCCGCTGGGCGTATGTCAAATCCTCAGATCCACTCAAGATGAACACCCGCGACATTGTCGTCCACCTGTCGACCAATGTCTTCGCCGGCTCAGACACGACGGCCATCGCGCTTCGTGCCATTGTCTATTTCCTCTGCCGCCATCCGGAATGTATGGACCGTCTGGTTGGCGAAATAGACAATGCGGACAAACAGGGGAAGCTCAGTCAACCCATCACCTTCAAGGAAGCCACCACTGTCCTTCCTTATCTAGGTGCTGTCGTCAAGGAATCCATGCGTCTTCACCCTTCGGTGGGCCTGCTCATGGAGCGACATGTCCCAGCTGAGGGCCTCACTGTCCAGGGCTACCGCATCCCTGCGGGGACAATAGTGGGTATCAATCCTTGGGTAACTAACCGCTCAGCCGTCTTCGGTCCGGAACCCGAGAAATTCAACCCAGACCGGTGGCTGACGGCGCCTGAGACGCAACTGAAGGAGATGGACAACATCTGGGAGCTGAATTTCGGGGCAGGGAGCCGCAAGTGTATCGGTCGTAACATCTCGTGGATCGAGATCCACAAGGTCATACCTGAGCTGCTCAGGCAGTATCACGTCGAATTGACGTACCCGGAAAAGGAGTGGCACATCTGCAACCACTGGTTCGTGCAGCAGGAGGGTGTGATCTGTACCCTGAAGAAGAGATGATTCCTTGCACTGTCCTCGATGATTCCAATCGGGCTATTTCGGCACCACCCCAGAACCCGCCGAGGGAGCCAACCAAGACGGGGCCTTCGGGCCAGATCAAGCAATGGAAGATCAAAAAGCCACCGCGTGGGCTGAGGGTGAGACATACGAAAGCGGGCAAAGCAATTGAAATCGGTTCCTGTTGAATTCATTCACTGTTGTATACTCCTTGATTCTTATACGTTGGCCACTTTTGCATTCAATGTCCCTTCCATTTCCAGTACCACTTAGTCTCTACTAACCGGCCCACACCCAGAAATCGAAAGAATCTCTCGCAAGCTAACATGTAGCCCCGGGGGGATTTAAAGGATAATATTCTGATAGAGAAGCTTTCCATCCCCGCCTTCTGACTTTCTCGATTCACCCCTAAGCACAAACCTCCCGCATCTACCTGTCGGATCGCCCTCACTCGTCCAAGAAGGCAAAGAAGACAATCATATTGCCGTGCAGATCCACAAGGTCGAACTGGCGATATCCCCAGGGCTTGTCCTCGAGCGGTCCCAAAACAGCAGTCTGTAGCCCGTCGGCGGCGGACACAGCAACACCACTTGTAGGCTTCCCCGTCCACTCCTCGACCGCGTCACCCTGCCGCAGCAGGCCCTCCTGAGCGGCTGCTGTTCCAAGGCGTGCGTGCAACTCCCCCAGAATACCCAGCGAGTCGAGCATGAGCATGCAACTTCCCCGGGCGCGTTGTTGGGCCGTGTCCTGGACGATGTAGATGTTTGCCGCGGCGCCCGGACCTGCAGCGATGGACGCGAACGTCGGCTCCAGAGAGTCGGCTGGGTGCGCTGAGATTGTGAAGTCTGGGAGGTAGGTTCTGTAGAAGGCGAGGAGTGAGGACAGGTGCGGGGATGTGAAGAATGGGATTATCTTGACGGCGTGCGCGGTGAGGAGGGACATGGCTGGGCTGGGAGAAGTCGAGACGTCGGGGAGATGAACTGGGCGAGGTGGGAAATGAAGCTTTTCAAGGGGTAACGAAGAGAAAGACGTAGCGAGGATTCTTCACGCCTAATATACTACGGGGTTGGATATAGGATATATTCATACCTGGTACATATGATGCATTGCAGCACTAAGAATAGTCCTAACTAGTACTGACGTACCATCTCCATGTCTGCCTGGCGTGTGCCTAAAGCCTAATAGACCGAGTTAACCACATTTGGGTGCTGCATGGCTAGGGAGGCTATCAACGCCAATAGGTAATGTCCTATCATAACAGCCCTCAGTCTCTCGCATTTCCTGGGGCATATAGAGCCATCTCCTAACGAGCGGTACACTCTACTTACCCCTTCAGTGGCTGCTATGGGCTTTCTGGTCTTGGAGGTCAGCTCAATCTCCACGTCACATAGTTCTCAACAAGCCCAACCACAGTAACGATGGGACCGAAATCCCCAAACCCTAAATCTAGACTATGTCGCACGACCCCGGTGACGACGCCGGCAATGACAGATGCGGTGAAAGTGAGAGTTAAGAAACTGAGAGAGCAAGCTTGCTGAGCCGCAATTTAAGCAGGATGGCGTTGCGGGGGATGGTGTTGCTAGGAGGCTTGGGTATGACAGCGAAACGGGCATAGGAAAGACGAAGAGAGGCGTTGCTGGAAGATAGTTTGGGTGTTGGAGTACCGCGGTCAATACACGTGACTAGTGTTGAGTGTCGACATCGACTGGATAGGGGAAGTTGGCGGGGGTTGAGCTAGCCACCTGGAGGAGATAGGTGTATAGGCAGGGATGATAAGGCTCAAGAATCAGTAGAACTTACCGAGGCCAGTTGAGCCGTATACAACGTGGGTGTCAAGAACGGGACGCCCTTCGCCCTTCGCCAGCCAAGACTCGGCGCGCCGGTATTCTTGCAGAAGGTTCCGGACGACATCGGGGCCATGGTCAGTGCAGAGGAGGGATACCTCGTGGAGGTAGAAGGTCCCGATGTGTCGGATAGGAAGATGCGATTTGATCGTAGAAATGGGTTTGGTGTTTGTAGATGTCTCCGTGTAGTGACCCACTCTGACTTGGTGGAGAGCGTATGTAATTGGGATAGTTATTCTCTGTCTGTCCCCTCCAACGAGGACAGTCGAGAGGACTGAAAGGCACGAAATTTCATCCCCATCAATGTGGTTCCTTTTATCCATCTTTAGCAGCCGCAGAGCATTTGCGTCATGTGGGACGCCATGAGGAGCGGTGGTTGCTTGAATCAACCAACTGGCCTGGGTGAAGTTGTGGACGCAGATGCGCACTTGTCGATAAAGCGACAGTGAATTAGCGGAACCATGACGTGACTAACTAGCACACTTTACACGCAAGTCGATCGTTGAGCAGATTTGCGCTGAGATGGTGCATCGGGCGGATCGCAGGAAGTTTGGAGGTTGACGCACAGGTGCGCTGGCGCTATGAGTTGTGAGCATCTGGCCCGCAAAGTCGGATCCACAGAGGTATCTAACGAGCCGGATCCCAAAAAGAACAGCGGCAGTCTGTCACGGAATATGTACGTCGAGAGTGCTCAATAACGTTAAAGCGACCGCTATATCGACTATAATTGACACTGTAGGATGAATGACAGAGGACCACTGTTCCCAAGGTAAACGGAATGCTCATTATCAACGAAGGCCACCTCCGTTCTAGCAGCGAAAGATTTTGATTGTGCCACTTATTCTTCAACTCGGCTTGCTAGGGAATAAGGCTTCACCAGGAACCTGGTGTGGAATCATCCCCGGAATCGGTGCCACAAACCGTTGCGGTTGGCGAGCATAGGTTCGGAGTCATGGCACCAACGTCGTTGACTATTCTGCACAAGCCTGAGTCAACGCCCAAATCATCACCGGAGATGATACTCGCGATCCTGTCTGTCACTGCTGGAAGGTTGAGATTTTAGGAGTCCACTTGCTTCAAACTGTGATTTAAGAGGGCTAGTGCCAGGACCCGAGCAGAACTATGGCTGGTGGACTGAGTCGTCCAAGTGCAAGAGGAGGGATAGGACTCAACATCAAAACACGACCAAAATTCCAAGTATTTGCGGTAATCCGTTTGAATGGACCTTGAAATTTAATCACAGGAAGATCTCGAACGCCACCGAGCCTCGTGGCACCAGGTCTTTTTGGAAGTGTCTCCTGTAAGATTGGCCTAAGAACATGGTGACTGAGAACTTCTCGGGAGTCTTTGACATGCGATCTGTCGAGACCAACGTTACTTTTCTAGTCACCGGATGAAGGGAGAGAAGCCTGAATAAGCGATACTCTAAGTTCGAAGTCGACCGAAAGGCCGTGGAAATGCAGTTGGAGGCCTGGGGCCACTATGTTGAACGGGGTAAGAAGTTGCAAGTAACCCTGTCCTTCAGCTATGTTTAAGCTGATCTTCAAATGCGCAGCAGACTTAGGAACGTCAGGAATGGGAATATGACTTTTTTTACATACCTTCAAGGCAGCAAGTAAGTTACTCGCTGTTCGGTGAGCGTAAAAGGACTTCGGGGTCGCGGGGCGCGTGAGACCGCCAGATGACGGTGAAAATAGCGAGGAGATTCGAGGGTGTTGACCCACTGCTGTGAGCCACGTCAATACACTTGTGCTATCGAGGATATCGACAGAGCAACAGGACATCAGGTGGGATAGCTGAATGCCATTCATTTACGTAATCAAGATGATAGTTTCTGGGTCTGACAGCTGGGGCGCCGAAGATGGCTCCCAAGCTAAGCTATTTTTAGCAAGTTCCCAGCCGTCGGCTGTTAGCAGTCTCGTGTTCTTCTCGACTGCTGCACAGCACTCAAATAGCGAACGAAAGCTTGACAAATTTGTGGCCATCGCATGACTGGGTACGAGCGGTGGGTGGAAATGCAGAGAATTGAAGCTTGAAATAACGCCGCTTTCAGCTGAACGGGACCTTCGAAATCCTTGTGACGTGGAGATCCAGCGCCCTCTCGACCGTAAATTCGATCTGTGGAGCTCATCTGTAAATGCGAAAGTGCTTGAGCTAGAATTGCAGGTGACTTCCAGTTCGTGTCATTCTCCATTGCTCCGTGGTACATACCCTCGTGATCTCGTAAAGACACAATGACCACCCACAAAATGCACTCATTGTGTTATTCGGTAGGCCTGATCGTGAAGGTGATGAGCGGTCCAGGCCCCATGACCGGTATTGCTTAGTAGCCAGATAACAGGGCTCTTTTGGAGCTCTCCAGCCGTATCCGTTCGCAAAGGCGCAAAAGAAGAGCGTTCTGGCTGTTGCTGGATGCTTCTGGCCTCTTACCAAGCGTTATTCCTGAGGCTGACTGAATGAATAGAAATCTCCCGCGACTCTTAACTGCCAATCCTAGCCCTATCAGCGATTTTTTCTGTGCAATGAGCGTCAAGGTCGACTAGAAGTCTTGGAAATGTGCAGAACAATGGTGTGCGGTTCGTATAGTTTGGTTCAGCATAGTTCAGCCGCGAGGGCGTAGCTGCGAACGATGCAGGTGATACATTCAAAACGGTAAGCTGAAGAGCTTGGCTGGGGGCCTGGACGTAAAGTACCACTTGCTGGGTAGATTTGGACGCCTAGATCAGTGTATGTTACCAGTATAAAAACCTTGAATATCTTCTGTGATTGTTGTTCCATCGATAAGAAGCTATTTCATTCGACTACTTAGTAGACATCAAAGCACTTTCCTGACCCATCTACAGTTATAATCCAACATGGGGAAAATCACAAAATCTGATCGAGACCAAGTTCGAAATGTTCTCGGAGCCGGCGGATGGACTGTCTATTACGGCGATGAGCTCGAATTATGGGAACAAGTTCTCGGCGCACTCTCTACGGTTCTAGGCGGCGCCGGCATCGTGGCCTGGATTGAATGGCAGCTCACTGCCCAACTCGCTAAATTTGGGCAAAAGCTAGATGACCTTGCCGAAGACCTGCTTGACCAAGTGATCAACATTCTGGAAGATTGCATCACCAATGGCAAGAGTGGTGAATGGAATATCGGCGGCGTTGGGATCAAGGTTGGGGGGGCCACTTATCACCACTGGTGGAAAATCCCAGGGCTCACTGGTTGGAACAAACTTCCCAATACCTACCAGCCATATATTGGTTTCCGCATTGCAGGTCCGCTGCCCACGAAAACGGAATCACCCAATGTTCAGACGGAGACAATCCAAGGCCCAATCAAGCTTTCTAAGACCCTTCCTACTCCAGCCCCGAAAGAAGATCCCTTCCCAAATATCTGAGCCCCCACCTATTACAAAAGCCTCCCCGAGTTTCGCGCAACACGTCTACACTCCCGAGATCCCGACTTCTAATTAGATAATATGTTTTGTGGGCTCAAGTTTCTGGACTTTTCCTCCAATACAACGTCTTTACTCCCAAGTCGCCAGTGTCCGCTGTGATAGAAAGCCGATCAGTCATGATAACTCAAGGTCATCACGCGGCTTTGAGGATCATACCACAGCCTCACCAAACCTCTGAGCGATTCTCCACAATATTCTTGAGAAAGAAGAAGACGAAGTACAACAGCGCTCTTTGGCAAAATCAGCATTGTCTACAGTCCTGGGCATCATGGGTTCTGCGTATCTCTTCTGCTGACATCAAATCAATTCTCGATTGTAACTTACCCCTTTGTGCAAGAGCATCTTATTACTTTTTATCAACATTTGAACCATCTCATTTTTGCCATGTTGCACAGTAAGATCTACTGTAGAAGCTTATTGATTCTCTGAACCTGTGGATTTAGTAGCCGCCGGGGCGTCCTACTAGATTTATTTGGGTGACGAATTTTCTCGTTTTATCAACTTCAGGGCACATACGTCGAAAGGAATTCAGGGAAACGTTTCAAAGAACGTGACACGGTCCCACCATGAACCTCTGCAGGTTTCCTACATGCTTAACCACTGTGGTGAAATATTCAGCTTTGTTTCTTTTACGGGGACGTGCTTTTGTGGAAGAACGCTCATGTTATCTGTGGTAGCTCTATGTGCAACTTCCTTAAAAAGGGGGTTGTAATTTTGGAGCAGTGGAAGCAGCAGTACATCAAGAATCCGGAGGCTGAATTTCCAGATGGAGAATATGAGAATTGGGAGAAGTGCCAGTCACTCCTTCCGCATGCAAACTCTGCGATATCACAACGATACAATGACGACGACTCGTTGCTCGAATAGGCTTCTCTCCCGTATTATGCGGCCTAGTATGTATAGCGTAAGGGTTAAGGTGGCGCTGATTTGGCAGTCAGTGCTCGAAGACAACACGTTCTCAACGACCTTGCGAAACCAAGGGGCCTTACCGCGTGGAAAGGTCTCAAAACACAACACAGCGCCACGACCACGAAGGAATATGAACACCAGGGAGAATTATCCGATGTCGGTCCTGAAGATGTCAACAATGATGATTGCCTCGAGGAGCTGAGCGTAGAAGAAGAATTTCAATTTGCTACCTGTTTCGGATCTGATTCTGCCCGTCTCGCGCTGAATGCTCTTGAGCAAATTGCGTGAGATGACCCTTTCAGTTCTTCCGTGTCGAGCTTGTCTTACTCCCAATATTCGTCGTGCTCAGATTGATTCCTCTGATGCGAAGTAGGTTTTCACGATTTTGAGGCTCTCGAGCTCCACCACAAACACGAGAGCCGTCCACTGCACTGTCTTCGCGTTGATATCAATATTGCCATCCTAGATGATGTCAAACACTTTACTGTGTACCTAACACAGGACGGCGTAATGCAACTCGTTCCTGTCCGTACTGTCCTAACCAAGAAGATGGGGTGTGCCATCGGCATGGAAAAGGTGTATCGAATCGAGATCCCTTTCGATGTCACTCTAGTTTGATCAATTTGGCGCGTTCAGCCGGCCAACCTGAAAGGCCTATCAAGGTCTTTAGTCTCCGCCAACGCGAGTCCAGCACGACAAAGAGTTCAACAATGATACAGAGGATAGGCCTGTAGAGGTCGATGTAGCTCGCTCTCTCGGGCTCTCACGCTCTCGGGCTCTTGCGTAGGTCCTGTAGTTTCTTCACTTCACTTACTCCCTCTTTGCTAGACATCTGCTCGTCTTCAAGAGCGCGGCAGACGACAATCTTTGAAACTTCAAAGGCCGTGTTGAAAATTGCCTCTGATTCTGCAGAGGACGTCTGACGCATAGAGAACACCAGGAAGCTACCCGCTACAGCGACGGGTCGCGGGAGTGGCAGCCGCGGTAGCAACAGCAACAAGATCGCGAGTTTTCAATATGTTATCGCAGCATTGGTCGACGTTTTTGGATACGCAAGGCTTGGATGTCCTTGGTTTTCCGATTGATGAGGTGGAGAAGGGTCCCTCTTCTAGCTTCGCTACTAAGGATCTCAATGCGACCACCATCGGGATTTTCATCACAAATCTCATCATGGAATTTGTTGATGAGGTCTTTGTTGTTCGGATCCTCTTTGAAAGCCAGGTAGGTTTCTTTCCGAAGGTCTGGTTTGCCCGGGTCTTTAGCGGGTTCTCTTGGGGCTATGGCTTATGTATCAAATGAGAATTTCACAACGTCGGTGGAAGGGACTCAATTAAGTTGGAATTATGTGGCAAGAAAAAGCTCTGGGGACGCCTATCTTTATCACAAGCTGAAAGGACGACGGCTACCCTGTAGGCGTAGAGCTCCGGACCTAACATTGACATATCGTAATGGGCAATGCACACAAGCTGATACCTGCCATGAAACCCATTGGCGAGGCCGAGATGCGACATTGGAAGTTTTTGGTCCTTTCGAGATGCAAGCTATTGCCGGGCCACTCCGCTGCGAACTTTAACCCCCCGAAGGCACTCAATTAGGCCCTCAGGCTTTATTACAATCTACTGCTGCCTAATCTGCGATGATATATCAGTGCGCATAATTGGTTGACCGCGCACATTTGCGGCCCCTAGAAGGACCTTGACGTAGTTGCTCCTTTGATGATAGTGAAGATGAAATTCGTCAAGGGGGCTCGAACCCTATCCCTCCCCAGGACTACGGCAGGTTTGAAGGCTTGCCGTACCCATGGATGACCGCAGTTCAATGGATGCAAAGATCGAGCTAGGATATGACCTGTGATTGCCCAGGCCAATCAGTGGCCGATACCGTACGGAGAGTTCTGATTCGGCTGCTTCAGGCTGCGGTAGGGCCTGTGAGGTCTCGAGAAAGGAGAAACACCAGTCTGGAGTTCCAAGCTCTTATCATTGACTATGTAGGGGTCTTGCCTGCTTTTAAGCTACCGTAACAAGGCAAAGTGGCTGCACTGTGCTGTGCTGGGCTGGTAGAGTGGTGGCAAGGGGGCGAGTTGTCTAGTCACGTATCAAACCAAAATGGGCTGGCAAGGGGAGTGCGAGACAGTTCACAGTGCTGGCAGTGTGCCATTTTTTACAGTTCGAGCAGGGTATCATGAGTCCCATGGCCTTTTGGTGCCGTCTATCTAGTTCCTGAGTGTTTCTGTCAGTCCTGTCCTGCTCCTCGATGCCGCGCCCGTGCTAGGCGTGCGTTGTCCTAGCCGCCGCCTCTCTGGGTGGTGTTGGTGGTGGTGTTGCCCTGTCGGCGTCAACCAGAAACGCGTTCTCGATTCCCGACCTGGTGGACAGGCCTCTGTGCGTTGTTGCACGTGCATGCCGAACCCTGAAGTGCTCTGTTAGACTACGAGTTCCTGTCAGCCTGGCGAGCCGTTGACACCGGCTAGGAGCCACCCTTCCAAATGACCATTCGGACACAGTGCTTCGCACGATGTTCGGCCTTCCCCGCAGAGCTAGTTGTTGAGAAGGCTTGTGCGATGGTGCAGGGAATGCTAGCAAGGTCATATATGATCCGTGAGAGCCCATTTGGCCAGACAAAGGCTTCGGAAGGCCCTTGGCTTGAGATGGAAGTTTTCCCGCGACGAGATATTGGGGTTGGTGGAATCTTTGCTCTTTGTGCTGAGATCTACTTTGACCAAATATCACTGCAGAGTACATTGGCCAAACAAGTGCGCAAGACGGTGTCACCCGTTCCAGTCGCGGTGAGTCGCCTATATTCTTCTGATGAGCCGCTTTCGATGAAAAGATCCCGCAAGGCGGCACTATCCACAACAAGGTAGACTTTGTTGTGTGGAGTTGTCCTAAACACATTGCAGAGCGCCGAATGGCGGGAGGGCTTGATAACTTCTCCGACCTCGATGCAGCGTTGTCGAGACTGCTTAATCGACCGTGGACAAGCCCCCAACGGTATTTTCACGAGGAAATCCCTCCATGAAAAGGAGGCAAGTTGGCGATTTTGAAGAGTGAAATCTGTCATCTGGGAAGGTGCTGTACTGCAATTGGATTAACTGTGCGTTTGATGCGGACATTGATGCGGGCACTAGCGGTGGTGGGTCGGGTACCTGGTCAATCCAAAGTAGCATTCATATAGACTCCTTAATAAATAAAGATGGATGCGGCACCAAGTACTCTCTTCTTATTGTTTCCTTAACCTTTGCATCTGAAATCTCAAATAGTCGATCTCAGCATACTGATCATACAAAGCAGGTGATGCTCCAGTCCAAATTCTCCCCAGACTCCTTGCCAGTACTCAATGGCAAGGTATTCCTCGTCACAGGAGGAAATACTGGCATGTGGGTAAACTCCTTAACGAAATCAAAACAAATCCTCATGTAGAGCAGTGGATTGTCTACAGTGGCTGGTTTAGCTAGCCGCGGAGCGACGGTGTACATGGGGGCAAGGGACGAGTCAAAGGCCCGCGCGGCTATACAAGAAATTGTGAAAGAGCATCCCAACGCCAACATTCACATCTTCCGGATGGATCTGACAAGCTTGGACAATGTTGTCGAGGCAGCAAGAGAGTTTTTCCGGTATATATGATGAGTGCTTCCGCCGTTGCAGAGTAGGATTCTGACAAAGGCTGCCGGGTTAGGAGAGAAACTCGCCTCCACGGTCTGGTGAACAATGCAGGAATTATGGGTGTCCCTTTCTCCATGACCAATGACGGCTATGTGATCCAATTCCAGGTTGCTACATCGTCCCTGTCAAGAACTTTCGGATATTCTAACGGATTCCAGACGAACTATCTTTCGCACTGGCTTCTCACCTACCATCTGCTTCCGCTGATGATCGCTACGGCATCATCAGCTGAACCAGGAGCTGTGCGGATAGTGAACGTGACATCGGACGGCCATGCTCTATTTGTGCCGAGGAAAGGCATAGACTTTGACGATATTAGCCTGGAGTCTAGCTCTTCTATGACGCGCTACGGCCAGTCGAAACTCGCCAACATCTTGCACGTCAAAGCACTCCACAAAAAGTATGGGCCAGAGCGAGAGGACAAAGGAGGTCCTGAAATCTGGGTCGCGGCAGTCCATCCTGGACATATATATACGTAAGCCGGCCCACACATGTGCCGCGAACATCTCTAATCGTGTGGTTCCAGAAATCTCAGCAAGCAAGCGACCGCGACCGCGCCAGCGACAGTTCTCCACACGGTGGCTCCAATCATGCGATTTGTGGGTGTCCTTCATGACCGATCAAAGGGCGCATTGTCCTCGCTTTTCGCTATAGCCAGCCCCGACTTCAACCGCAGTGATTCCGGCGCTTATGTTGTGCCATATGCCAAAATAGGGATACCCAGCGATCTTGCAAGGGACGATCTGTTGATTGAGAAACTCTGGTCATGGTCTTTCGAGGAGCTGAAGAAGAAAGGCAAATTGGATAGATTGGAGCCGCCGAACTCGGTGTCAATTGAAGGCTGAATGCTGCCTCTTACCAGATCTCATCATCCATAGCCCACAATTTGCCTGGTTATTCCACTTTATGATAGTGTCCAGAGCAACGTTGGCAAGATTATAGCCACACCAATCACAATCCCTATCCTGGACCTCTGGGACTATGGTCACTAGTCCTGACTATAGACTCTGCAAGGGATTGGAAAGAGCACCTGCAAAGCATATTATAGATCACATGACACGTCTTGGCGTATGCCTCCAACTTCTTTCCTTGTCGTTCCGAAACCAGGGGTATTGTCATCTCTTTGGAGTACCTCCATCTGCAAATGTCCGATCTATCGGATAACCTGGCACGCCAAGCTTGTGTCTCTTGTCGGGAGAAGAAAAGGAAGTGCTCCAGAGATATACCCACCTGCGCGCTTTGCCGTAGAAACAAAAGGCGATGCGCCTATTCAATTCAAGGCATTTCGTCTGCGGCCCCGAGCGGTGAAAACCAGATGGTACAGGAACCGGTGAGAAATCTCCCAACCTACTCTCTGGCTCCAGCTCTTTCTGTCCTTGTTCACAAATGCCGTTTGGTGACTAAGGCGAAGCCAGAACAATTTCCCACCCTTGTTTTTCTTGGATCTGTACATGTTCAATCAACGAAAATGTGTGATACCGAGGTCACGTAGCAGCTTCCCCGGCGAATATTATTATCGAATTCTCGGCAGCGGAGAACAACTTAGACATGACATTGATATTTATATCTCTACGGTGCACCCATTTTTCCCAATCGGCTCGATGACATCGCATTTCATATATATTGGCTAACTGAAACGGCTCTTGCTGACGTCGAGCTCTAATAGTATCGAAGCTCCAAGTCTACCAGGAATTACCTGATTCGCCCGAGATGCTTCCTGGTGACATGGTCCCTCTTCATATTGCCATAAAGTTGCTTTGTGAGCATAGGAAGCAAGAGGAACCGCGGACGAGCGGAATGTATACACATGCGAAGCGGTGCTGTTCATATGCAGAAGAAAATAATATTTTCTCTTTGCGATTGCTACAGGCACACTTACTGATTGCGCTATATGAGCTGGGAAACGCTATATATCCGGCCGCATATCTCAGGATTAGCCACTGCGGGAGCTTAGGGCATACCGTGGGCATCCACGATCGAAGAGGGGCTCCCCAAATATTTCCAGCTCCAGGTAACAATTTCCTCGTGAAAGCGTTCAACATGAGATATTGACTGGCTTTAAAGATTCATGGGTAGAAGCTGAACAGAGGCGCCGAGTCTGATGGGCCATTGTAATACTTGAGAGGTAAGATGGGAAGAGAAATACTATGTCGTCTCTTTCTCACGCCTTCCAAGATATGTCAACCTGGGTTGTGGAAGCCGTCCTTTTGTGTGCAGTGGTGCGAAACCTGACGATCTCCTTCCCATGAAAGAGGCGAGCTGGGACGCAGGAGTAAGTGTAACAATTATAGTACAGGGTGTCCTTACCGCTAAGCGAAACAGGAGCCCGAAATAATCCAGCCTCTCGCAGTATCTCCAGATCCCACTGCTTCTGCTCCCCCATTTGCTCGTACCTGTCAGGCTTCTCACCTTCTCTCACATGTTATACGCCACCTAACTGAAACGAACCCTGACGTGAAATTCCGCTATCAACAAGCGATTCAACTTCATCGTACATTGAATGCCTTGCAGCTCGCTTCGTCTCGAGATTTTTGACCTTAGCAAAAGCGACCTTGAAAACAAGCCAGGCACAGTGCTTTTCCCTGCCATCGCAATCTGCTACAGTGCTCAGCTGACCCTTTATGACAACTACGTATGTACGGATGCGGATGATACCGGGGGAATTGGCAGCCAAGAGCAAGTTGAGATGCAGAAAATTGCCATATCTGCCATGAGAGATACATGTGTGGCGGTTCATGTGTTTGCAAACATGATTACTTCGACCGTCGAATCAGGAAGTTTGTTGATTGTGAGCCCATTGGCTCTCAACTGCCTGTATCAAGCAGCCACGATCATCTCAACATATATGCGGCAGACTGGTACGTCTGAATTTGTTCAACCAATGGCGGACATTATATATGCGCAGAAAATATTGGGGAAAAGGTGGACAGTCGCAAGTAATGATTCCACCCTCGGAATTCTTCAATCAAGAGAGAAGAAGAAAGAAAGATTACGCTGACTGCATTCTAGATGAATATCTCAAGGCCCTCGGTGTGGATGACTTCTCCATAGATTAAAGGGGGCTCAATATGGGAAAGAGGTGCCAAGGAAGTGGGTAAGGTAGGAGTGAGCAAGAGCGAGCTGAAGGGTGGGCACAGGGCGGCATCACCCTCTTCCCAAAGGGGATTGGGCTAGTCCGTTCGCCTTGGCACCCCAGTCCGCGGGTCAGGTTGACCTGGACCCCGTAAATGCGCCAGATCATCTGTTGACGTTGTCTTTTTGCTCTGTACGACTTGACGCAGACGGTGTCAGCTGTTGATATTTAGTCACTTGAACTATAGCCCTACCTTACGGTCCCCCACTTTTGCAGACTCATGGATCGAGCAGCCATCTGAGATGGCAAGGTAGCCCCTCAACCTCCACAGGCTCTGCACAATAACTCGCCGCTGATCCCGTGCCGTACTCGAGCCCGGCAAGATGGCGATGAACAGGGTGAGGAACGCCTTTGCGCCTCCCAAGAAGGGGGAGACATTTGAATTGCGAGCCGGCCTTGTGTATGTGCTCCGACATACCGTTCCAAATTCATGCGCTGACTGAGTAATCCTAGATCCCAATATGCCTACGAACGGTGAGCCGAGTTGAATTGTAGTGGTCTGGGCAAGAGTCTCATGTTCTTTTTGTAGGAAGGATGCCATTCAGAAGACCATCATGGCCATGACCTTGGGCAAAGACGTTTCCGCACTCTTTCCCGATGTTCTCAAAAATATTGCGACCTCTGACCTCGACCAGAAGAAACTGGTGTATCTGTACCTTATGTCAGTATGCTGGGACTCGACCGAATCCTTTGTGATGCTAATGCTGGTTGCAGGAACTATGCAAAATCGCACCCGGACCTCTGCATTCTCGCCGTCAACACCTTTGTGCAAGATTCCGAAGACCCCAATCCCCTCATCCGCGCCCTAGCGATCCGCACGATGGGGTGCATAAGAGTTGACAAAATGATTGACTATATGGAAGAACCTCTGCGAAAGACACTCCGAGACGAATCGCCCTATGTTCGAAAGACCGCTGCAATCTGCGTCGCAAAACTGTTCGATCTCAACCCTTCCATGTGTCTTGAAAACGGCTTCCTGGAAACGCTACAGGAGATGATTGGTGATCCGAACCCGATGGTGGTAGCAAACTCCGTCCAAGCCCTCGCAGAAATAAACGAATCAGCACCCGAGACGAACGCCCTCCAGATCACACCCAACACGTTGAAGAAGCTCCTCATGGCCCTGAATGAGTGTACGGAATGGGGTCGTGTCACCATCCTGAGTACACTGGCAGAGTACAAGGCGCAGGATGTCAAAGAAGCTGAACACATCTGCGAAAGAGTGGCACCCCAGTTTCAGCATGTCAACTCGAGCGTGGTTGTCGCTGCCGTCAAGGCCGTGTTCCTGCATATGAAATACCTTCCGTCAGAAACACAAAAGTCGTACTTGAAGAAGATGGCACCTCCGCTGGTCACACTGGTATCTTCGGCGCCGGAAGTACAGTATGTTGCCCTTCGGAATATTGACCTTCTCCTGCAGAAGCAACCCGATATCCTTAGCAAGGAAATTCGAGTCTTCTTCTGCAAATACAATGACCCGCCTTATGTCAAGTTCCAGAAGCTTGAAATAATGGTGCGGATAGCAAACGAAGCTAATGTTGATCAATTGCTGGCCGAACTCAAAGAATATGCCTTGGAAGTGGACATGGATTTTGTGCGACGAGCAGTCAAGGCTATTGGACAAGTCGCTATCAAGATTGAAAGTGCCAGTGAACGTTGCGTAAATGCTCTACTGGACCTGATTAACACAAAAGTTAACTACGTGGTACAAGAGGTGATTGTCGTCATCAAGGATATTTTCCGGAAATACCCAGGTTATGAAGGGATCATCCCTACGTTATGCAAATGTATCGATGAGCTGGATGAACCAAATGCGCGGGGGTCCCTGATTTGGATCGTGGGTGAGTATGCAGAAAAAATCAGCAACGCCGGCGATATACTTGGTGGGTTTGTGGATGGCTTCGCCGAAGAGTTTACACAGGTGGGTCTTCAACCGGATCTCCTCACTATACAGATTACTGACGATGGACTAGACCCAGCTTCAGATCCTCACCGCCGTGGTCAAGTTATTCTTGAAGCGACCGCAAGCTGCCCAAGGTCTCGTCCAGAAGGTTCTCAATGCTGCAACGGCCGAAAGCGACAACCCTGACATTCGCGACCGTGCATATGTGTACTGGCGACTTCTCTCCAACACCAGCGACCAAAACGCCCCTAAGAATATCATCCTTTCTGAAAAGCCCCCCATAACCACCACGATTCAATCACTGCCACCTGCACTCCTCGAAAGGTTGCTTGGCGAGCTTTCGACGTTAGCTTCGGTATATCACAAGCCGCCAGAGCAATTTGTCGGTCAAGGTCGCTTTGGAGCCGATGCAGTACAACAAGCTGCGATTGAGGAACAAATGCAAAACGCACGCGAAAACCCGTTGGCCGCAGCCGCAGCGGCTGCCGCTGTTCAAGGCAAGGCTCCTGAAGCGCAAAATAACATCGAAAACTTACTTGACATCGATTTCGATGGTGCGGCACCTGCGTCGGCGTCTGAGAAACCCTCAGACGGCCTCTCTGGGCTGGAGGGGCTTGCAGGAACTCCACAAAGAGTGGCTTCACCGACGGTCGGGCAACCTGCTGCTCCCAACAACATGGACGATCTACTTGGAGTGTTCGGTAATGGAGGTTCTTCGACTGTTCCGTCGACTACATCTGCTTTTGGGGGCATGTCTGACAGTGACATCTTGAATGGCTTTGCTTCGATGGACCTTTCGCAGCCACCGC